AGAAAACGACTTAGACGAAATTGAAATCAATAACATCCAGGCTAAGTCTCTCAAACTGAGAAGCCAACAATGGAGAACTCTCTCCAGGTTTCAGGATATAGGAGAGAAAGGACACGAAATTTTTGATGTATTGCCAAAGCATAAAAGAGCCACCTGGGAAACTATTCAGTATAACATTAGCACAATAAAACAGGTCATTCGATATTGTATATTTTTCCTTATTTGCATTGCATGTTACATAGCACGATCTAATTGCCAATAAACACTTTGGCGAATCGTTGATAAAAACGCTCCACGAGTCGCAATAAGGCAAGCTTCGTACTGATTATTTATTCGAATGTGCCACACAAGACTTGTCGTGTTCAGTCTATAATGAAGATATAACTCATTTTTTCGCGTTGTGCACGGCAGAATAAGAATTTCGTCTTCGCCTAGATCAGGATTGAAGAAGTAGAGGTATGGATTTTCCATTCTAACCGCATCAGTCCTACTGTTCAAAATACTAAACATAAAATGCTTACATTTCCTATAATATAAGTAAGTAATTAATTTTAATGAGAAGCCTCTGTTTTGGGGGATTTTATAAGTCCTGTAACATTCGCAGAAGCCGTCAATCCATTTCTTGGAAGCGTCAGAAATTCCTATATCACTTTTTTTCTTGCCGCAATCTCTTTCAGCCAAATGCGCGTGCTCCAAAGCGCGATTTTCGAACACTTTATTACAATTTTTTGCAGCTACCAAAATGTGCTTTCAGTTCAATTCAAACTTAACCACACCTGAATTTTAAGTTAGGTTTGATCGTGAAAGGAGATTGAAATCCCAGTCGCTCAGTCCTTTATTTACAGTGCGCAAAAGAGGGGTGTGTGCATGCTTTGTGGTAGACAACGTCTCCATGTATATGTTGTAGTTCAATTTTACTCTTGGTGCAATTTAGCAGCTTCCTTTGTTTGAAATGCATCATAATATACTACCCGGCACACACCAAAAGAAAGGTTAATACTAAATTGCACGA